TCTCTCTCTCTCTCTCTCTCTCTCTCTCTCTAATGTTATTGAGACATGGTATTTTTTGTATAGCCTTGGCTGTCCGGACTCACTTTTTAGAACAGGCTGGCTGCAAACTCACAGGGATCTACCTGCCTCTCCTCCCAGAGTGCTGGAATTTTTAAAGACAACAATGTTTTCATAGCCCTCTCCCTTATTCTCTCCCAATCCCAACCTCTCTCCTTCACCTCCTCCTTGCCCCTTTCCAGGTCCACTGATATGGGAGGTCCTCCTCCCCTTCCATCTGACCCTAGCTTATCAGGTATCTTCAGGACTGGCTGCAATGTCTCCCTCCTTCCCTCCTTCCTCCCTCCCTCCCTCCCTCCCTCCCTCCCTCCCTCCCTCCCTCTCTCTCTTTCCTTTCTTTCTTCTTTCTTTCTTTCTTTCTTTCTTTCTTTCTTTCTTTCTTTCTTTCTGTCTTCTTTTCTTCAACTTTGTATCCAGGCTGTAGCCCTCTCCTTCCTCTCCTCCCAGTCCCCATCTCCCTTCCTCTTTTTAGCCTAAATCTCTTCCCTAGTCCACTGATAGGGATGTCCTCCTCCCCTAATATCTGACCCTAGCCTATCCAAACTTATCAGGAGTGGCTGCATCATCTTTTTTTATGGCTTGCACCATCTAGCAAGAGGTTATCATAGGGCCTGTTACTGAGTCCATGTCAGAAAGAGCCTCTGCTCCCCTAGAGAGAACACATTTGGAGACTGAGCTGCCTATGGGCTTCATCTGAGCAAGGGGTCTAGGTCTTCTCCATGCATGTTCCTTAGTTGGAACATACCTCTCTTCAGGCCCCCCTTAACCCAGATATTTTAGTTCTGTTGGTCTAGTTGTGGAGCTCCTGTCCCCTCTATATCTTTCTAACTCCTCCTCCTTCCATAAGATTCCTCACACTCTACCTAAAGTTTGGCTATATTTTTCAGAGACCCCCTGTGGAAGGCTCCTGTATTGTTCCCTGTCTTCTCCCACTTCCAATGTGTATCATGTTTGACTTTCAGAATGAAGATTAAGCATCTTCCCTAGGGTTCTCTTTGTTGTTTAGCTTCTTTAGGACTATAGACTTTAGTATGTTTATCTTATATTATATGGCTAATATCTACTTATAAGTGAGTATAAACTGTGTGTGTCTTTCTGCTTTTGGGGTACCTCACTCAGGATGATTTTTTCTAGTTCCCACCATTTGCCTGCAAATTTCCTGATTTCCTTGTTTTTAATTGCTGAGTAGTATTCCACTGTGTAAATGTAAAATTTCTGTATTCATTCCTCAACTGAGGGATATCTGGGTTGTTTCCAGATTCTGGCTATTACAAATAAAGCTGCTATGAACATAGTTTAGCAAATGTTCTTGTTATATGATTGAGCATCTTTTAGATATATGCCTAGGAGTGGTATAATTGGATATTGAGGAAGCACTCTTACTAATTGTCTGAGAATGTACCAGACTGATTTCCAAAGTAGTCTTACAAGTTTACATTCCCACCAGCAACAGAGGAGGGGTCCCCTTTCTCCACAACCTCTCCAGCATGTGTTGTCACTTTAGTTTTTGATATTAACCTTTCTGACGGGTTTGATGTGAAATCTCAGAGTTCTTTTGATTTGTATCTCCCTGATGGCTAAGGGAATTGAACATTTCTTTAAGTGTTTCTTTGCCATTAGATATTACTTTGTTGAGAATTCTCTGTTTAGCTCTGTAACCCATTTTTAATTGGATTACTTGATTTGTTGGTGTTAACTTCTTGAGCTCTTTTTATATTTTGAATATTAGCTTTCTGTCAGATGTAGGGTTGGTGAAGATCTTTTCCCAGTCTGTAGGTGGTCATTTTGTTCTGATGACAGTGTGCTTTTCTTTCCAGAAGCTTTTCAGTTTCATGAGGTCCCATTTATTGATTGTTGATCTTAGAGCCTGTGATGCTGGTGCTCTGTTCAGGGAGTTGTCTTCCTGTGCCAAAGAGTTTGAAACTCTTCCCCACTTTTTCTTCCAACAGATAAGTGAGTCTGGTTTTATGCTGAGGTCTTTGATCCACTTGGATTTTAGTTTTGTGAAGGGTGATAAATATGGATCTATTTGTATTTTTCTACAGGTAGACATCCAGTTATACCAGCACTATTTGTTGAAGATGCTATCTTTTTTTCCATTGTATGGTTTTGGTTTCTTTGACAAAAGTCAAGTGTCCGTAGGTGTGTTGGTTTATTTCTGGGTCTTCGATTCTGTTGATTTAACAGTCTGTTTCTATGCCAGTACCATGCAGTTTTTATTAGTGTTGCTCCATAGTACAGCTTGAGATCAGGGATGGTGATACCTCCAGAAGATCCCTTATTGTACAGGGTTGTTTTAGCAATTTTGAGGGGTTTTTTTTTTGTTTGTTTGTTTTGTTTTTGTTTTGTTTTCTATATGAACTTGAGAATTGTTCTTTCAAGGTCTGTATAGTGTTGTGTTGGTATTTTTATGGGAATTGTATTGACTCTGTATATTGCTTTTGCTAGGATGGTCATTTTCATTATGTTAATTCTATTAATCCACAAGCATGGGAGATCTTTCTACCTTCTAGTTTATTCTTCAATTTCTTTCTTCAGTGACTTGAAATTCTTGTCACACTGTTGTTTCAATTGCTTGGTTAGAGTTACACCAAGATATTTTATAATGTTTGTGGCTATTGTGAAGGGTGTTGTTTCTTTAATTTCTTTCTTAACCAATTTATTGTTTATATAGAGGGGGATTACTAATTTTGTTTGAATTAATTTCCTGTCTAGCTATTTTGCTGAAGGTGTTCATCAGCTTCAAGAGTCCTGTGGTAGAATTTTTGGGGTCACATATGTATACAATCATATCATCCACAAACAGTGATACTTTGGTTTCCTTTTTTCTAATTTATATCCTCTTGATCTTTAGTTGATGTATTGCTCCAACTAAAACTTTATGTACCATATTGAACAGATATGGAGAGAGTGGATAAGCTTTTCTTGTCCCAGATTTTAATTAGATTGTTCTAAGTTTCTCTCTATTTAATTGATGTCGGCTATTGGCTTGCTGTATATTACCTTTATTGTGCTTACATAGTCTCCTTGTATCACTGATATCTCCAAAACTTTTATCATGAAGGGGTGTTGAATTTTGTCTAAAAGATTTTTCAGCATCTAATGAGATGAATATGTTTTTTTTTCCTTTTTGGTTTGTTTATAAGGTGGATTACATTGATGAATTTTTGTATGTTGAACCGTCTCTGCAATTCTGGGATGAAGCCTACATGATCATGGTGGATGATGTTTTTGATGTGTTCTTTGATTTGGTTGATTACTCTTGGATTGAGTATTTTGCATCAATTTTCTTTTTTTTAATTTTATTTTTTTCTTATCAGTTACATTTTATTAACTCTGTATCCCAGCTGTGTCCCGATCCCTCATTCCCTCCCAGTCCCTCCCTCCCTCCCTCATCTCCACCGTGCCCCTTGCCAGGTCCACTGATAGGGGGGACCTTCTCCCCATTCATCTGATCCTGTTTTATCAGGTATCTTCAGGACTGGCTGCAAAGCTCTCTTCTGTGGCCTAACAGGACTGCTCCTCCCTTGGGGGGGGGCGGGTGGGGAGGCCAAAGAGCCAGTCATTGAGTTCCTGTTTTCAAAAGACTGAATGGTCTGAAATTCTCTTTCTTTATTGAGTCTTTGAGTAACTGTGGTCTCATAAAATGAATTTGGTGGTTTTGCTTCTGTTTTTATTTTGTGGGAATTTGAAGAGTATTGGTATAAACTCTTTCTTGAAAGTCTTGCCAGGCCACAGGGGAAGAAGATATGTTCAATCTTGATACTTCTTGATGGGCTAGGGTGGGTAGGTAGGGGTGCATCCCGTTTTCTGAGGAATAGGGAAGGAGGTGGAGGAAGAGAGAGAGAGGATGGGATCAGGAGGAGAGGGTGGAGTAGGCTACAACTGGATGTAAAGTAAATAAATAAACATTTTTTTAAATAAAAGGAATGTCTGGTAGAATTCTTTGCTAAACCCATCTGGCCCAGTGTTTTTCTTTTCTTTTGTTTATTTATTCATTTATTTTTGGTAGTGAGACATTTAATGACCGTTTATATTTCCTTAGGGTTTATAGATCAGTTTAAATTGTTTACCTTATCTTAATTTAACTTTGATAATTGGCATCCATCAAAAACATCACCCATTTCGTTTAAATCTTCCTATTTTGCAGAGTACATATTTTTGAAGTAAGACCTAATGATTCTTTGGATTTCCTTTGTATCTGTTATATCCCTGTTTTTCATTTCTGATTTTGTTAATTTGGAAATTTGTTCTCTGCCTTTTAGTTAGTATGGCTAAGAGTTTGCATATCTTGTTGATTTTTTTTTTCAAAGAACCAGAAAGTTTTTTGTTTTGATGATTCTTTTTTTTCTCTTTGTTTCCAGTTCATTGATTCCAGCCCTGAGGCTGATTATTTCCCATCATCACCACTCCTCTTGGGTTTGTTTGCTTCTTCTTCTTTTTTTTTTTTTGAAATTTAAAGAAAAAATTTATTGAAGATCTGAAAAACAACTACAAGATTGACTTTTCCATAAAACTGTAGCTACACAATACATTGCGTCAATGTTAAAACATGCATTAGACACAAGTACAAAAACCATGAAAACAAGCCACCATTCTTTTAACAATTGAGCAAAGATAAAATGCCTAAGGAGCAACATGGATGACTTGCAAAGAATGGACTCTTTAAGCATCATTTTAAAAAAAAAGCACAGATGAATGAGTGTTCAGTTATATACAGTGAAGTGAACCTTTGGCACTAGGAATCAGAGCATTTTATCATAGAGCATTAATACATATTATAAAAGTGCGCAGTGTCAAAGGAACAGAACCACCAGCATTCAAAAGCAGCTTTGTCAACTAGGCAATAAAACACTCTACAGCATTTCTCTGTTTTCCATCACTGAATACACTGGTAGAAACTGAAATGAAAAAAAGAAAGAAAAAAGGAGTAGCAACTTCTTTTATTTTTCTCTGTTTAAAATCAAAGAGAAAACAAACATCAACTGTTATACACTAATGGTCTTCAAAGTACATCATTTGTACAAGAGAAGGACTAAGAACTAAACTGTTTACAGAGATCCAAGCATGAGTGAGAGAGCACACCCCTCACACGGCTTTTCGGTGGTACTCAGGAGGAGCCACTTCATAATCACTGGCACTGAACAAAGTTGCGGAATTCTTTGCCAGGTACTTGAGAAAATCATGTAGATAGTTCAGTAATAAAACAAGGCTTTTCTCGTGTAGAGGTGTGTAGGCCAACATCGCTCCAATTCGCACAAATAATCTCAGTAAATGTGGCGCTCCATACACCTGGGACATGGGTGCATCAGGGTGATCAGCGAGAATTTCAGCATACTGTGGTCTCTCAAATTTGTAGAGTAGCTGAGTGCCCAACATTACATTGAAGTACTCCTTTATCCCTGCCACAACCTCATTAACAGCATACTCCTTATTATCTGTATTTCCTTGAGATTTCTTATAATTTGCATAATCCTCCAAAATGGAATCCACATTCTTCTTGGCCAGAAGATAAAATAGCTGCTTTTGTCTGGTGATGAAGTCCCAGTCATCCACAAGCCATGGTTTCAGCTCTTCAGGAATCTTTACTTTAACTTCAACTCTGTTCATGAATATTTCTTCATTTTCAACTGTAGGATCTACCCGGGCTCTTTTCTTCCTAGGATGCTGAGGTGTCTCACTGGTACTGCCACCATCTCCATTTCCAGGTGTTTTCTGCTTGTTCTTTTTTGTTTTCATCTCAACATTTTTCTGTTGCAGACCAGATGTCTTCTTTCCTGGAGCAGCCCCTCTCATTTTGCCCTCTGCATATTGTTCCTGATTGGCCTTTTGAAGTTCTCGCTGCTTCTGCAAATTGGTGTCCACATATTTGAGTACTCTGCTTTCTGGAACCCATTCATCCTAATTTTTATTCCAACCACTGTAATGGATAAAGTATTTCACTTGTTTGTCCTTTATGGCAACCTTTACACACTTTGCTTCATAGAGAAGAGGCCCATGAAAGCATAGCACTCGTTCACCCTCCTGGAATTTCGGCTTCGGGTCCTGCTTGGGCGCCATTTATAAGTGATTAGCCATCTCCTCCTTCTCCCACCACCCCCGACTACCGCCCCCTACTCTCTACCCCACCCAACTTCCTCTTTGCTTCTTTTTTGGTGTAGAGTTTTCAGGTGTTCTGTTAAGTTGCTAGCATGGTATCCCACCAATTTCTTTATGAAGGCACTTAGTGCTAAGAACTTTCCTCTTTGCACTGCTTTCCTTGTGTCCCATAAGTTTGAGTATGTTGTGCCTTCATTTTCTTTGGATTCTATTAAGACTTTAATTTCTTTCCTGACCCAGTTGTCATTAAATATAGAGTGGTCCAGTTTTCAAGGATTTGTACGCTTTCTGTTTCTGTTGTTGTTGAAGTTCAGCTTTAATTCATGTTGGTCTGATACAATACAGGGGGTTATTTCAATTTTCTTGTATCTGTTGAGACTTTCATTTTTACTGAGGATATGATCAAATTTGGTGAAGGTTCCTTGAGGTGCTCAGAAGAAAATGTATTCTTTCGTGTTTGGGTGAAATGTTCTGTAGATATTTTAAGTCTGTTTGAGTCATAACACTGGCTAATTTCACTATTTCTCTGTTAAGTTTCTGTCTCAGTGACTTGTCCATTGGTGATAGCGTGGTATTGAAGTCTCTTACTATTAATGTGTGGGGTTTGGTGTGTAATTTAATCATTAGTAATCTTTTTTTTTTAATGAATGTGGATGCCCTTGCATTTGGGGCATAGATATGGTGGATATTTTCCTTTGATGAGTATAAAGTGCCCTTCTCCATTTTCCATGTCTTTGATACATTTTGGTGAAATCCTACTTTAGTAGATATTAGAATGTCTACTCCAGCTTGTTTCTTGTGTCTGTTTGCTTGGAAAATCTTTTTCCAGCCCATTACTCTAAGATAAAGTATGTCTGTTGCTGAGTTGTGTTTCTTGTATGCAACAGAATGATGGATCCTGTTTTCACATCTATTCTGTTAGCCTGTGTCTTTTTATTGAGAATTGAGTCCATTGAGGTTGAGAGCTATTAATGACCAGTGATTGTTAATTCCTGTCATTTTGATGTTTGGGAGTGGTTTTGTTTGTGTGTGTGTGTGTGTGTGTGTGTGTGTGTGTGTGTGAGAGAGAGAGAGAGAGAGAGAGAGAGAGAGAGAGAGAGATTCCCTTTTATTGGTTTTGGTGGTTTGGAATTACTTATTTCTTGTGTTTTCGTGGGTGTAGTTAATCTTGTGTTGGAGTTTTCCTTCTAGTATCTCCTCTAAGGCTGGATTTGGGATAGATATTGTTTAAAATTAGTTTTCTCATGGAATATCTTGTTCTCTCCCTCCATGGTAATTGAATGTTTTGCTAGGTTTGGTATTTTGGGCTGGCTTCTGTGGTCTCTTCGAGTCTGCAAGACATCTGCCCATATCCTTCTGGTTTTTATATTGTCTGTTGAGAAGTTGGGTCTGATAGGTCTGCTTTTGCCATTTTTAATATTTTTCTTCCTTCTGTACATTTAGTGTTTTCATTATTATGTAGTGGGAGGATTTTCTTTTATGGTCCAACCTATTTGGTGTTCTGTAAGTTCTGTATGTTTATCTTCATCTGTTTCTTTAGGTTAGGGAAATTTTGTTGAAAATATTTTCTGTACCTTTGAGCAGAGAATCTTCTCCTTTTCTTGCTATTTTTCTTAGGTTTGGTATTTTCATAGTGTTTCAGATTTCCTGGATGTTTTGTGTCAGAAACTTTTTAGATTTAACATTTTCTTTGAGTGATGCATTGACTTCTTCTATCATATCTTCTATGACTGAAATTCTCTCTTCTATCTGTTGTATTCTATTGTTGATACTAATGTTTGTAGTTCCAGTTCTCTTAGGGTTTTCATCTCCATGATTTACTCAGATTGTGTTTTCTTTATTCTTTTACTTTTAGTTTCTAGTCTTAATCATTTTTATTCATTTCTTTCACCTGTTTGACTGCATTTTACTCTATAAAAGGGCCTCTATCATCATCAAAAGATTGAATTTAAGGTCATTTTCTTGTGTTTTAGTTGCGTTAGGATATCCAGAGCTTATCATAATAAGCTTATTGTTGCCCTCTGGTGACTGTTGGTTATATTCTTATGCTGTCCTTTAGCCATCTGGTTTTTGCTGCTGCTATTATAGATTTAGATGCTGATTTCTGAGTTTATCTTTCTGGGATGCTTTGTTGATGCTTTTCCCTTGGTTTCTGTTTCTTCTCTGTCTCCTGGCCTGAGTGACCTGGGGTTCTCTTGGATAGCAAGTATTCAGGTCCAAAAGGGATATGTTCTTGGGTTTTGTTGCCTTTGTGGACTCTGGGGTTTGGGCGTTAAACTTGTCTCTGTGATCCTTAGTACCATCTTGGTTCTGGGTCCCTGGTGCTGGTAGACCTCTGAGAAAGCAGGTGGAATTGTTGGCTGAAAAATGAAGTTGAGGGGATGTGGTATAATTTAAGTCTGTTGGGTGTGTTTTAAGGGGATATGGCAGGCAAGTGCTTGGGGCAAGGTCTTACTTAGTTTTCACTGGTGACAGCAGGCCTCCAAGAAAACAGGCAGAGTTGTCTGGTAGGAAATGGAGTACAGGGTGTGGGATGTAATTTACAGCTTCATGTTTGGGTGTGCTTTCTGAGGAGTTGGCAGACAACTGCTTTGCTTGGTTAACTGGTACTCCTGGTGCAGTTAGGCCTCTAGAAAATCAGGCAAAGTTGTGGGGCTAGAAATGGAGTGCAGAGTATGGGATGCAGTTTACATCTGTTGGGTATACTTTCATGTGATTTGGTGGGCAGGGTCTTGGGGGTGCTTACATAGTGTTTCTGGTGCTGGCAGGCCTTCAGAAAAACAGGCAGGGTTGTGGGGCAGGAAATGGGGCACAGGGTTTGGTGTGCAGTTTACCATTGTTGGGTGTGCTTTCAGAGGTGTTGGCAGGCCCAAGGTAGAAATTATAATGAATGCAAACTACTAGATCAAGTCATTGAACATCATTCTTCAGTAAATGTTAGCTATTATTACTATATCTAACGTTATTGTAATATTGTACTGGCTTACACTTTTTGGAAAATTCATTTTTTTATTAAGTGTGAGTTTTACAGAGACATCCTAAAACACAGAGACACATGCTATCATTGTAAAGAAGGAAACAAAGCACACAAATTCATTCCATTTCATCAGAAAGCAGCCAGTGCTTCTCTCATGGCCATGGGTTGGGATCTATCCACTGGAGCATGAGTAACTTTTGCTTTTTTGAGAAATGGTTTCTGTGTGTAACTCTGACTGTGATGGGACTTATTTATAGAGCAGGATGACCTCAAACTCAAAGAGATCCACCTGCCTCTGCCTTTTGAGTGCTGGGATTAAAGTGTGTGCCACCACTTCTTAGCACATGAGTAACTTTCCAGTGTCTGTATCAGTAGCAATAATGAATTCTCTCCCTCAGAAACATTCAACTGCTATATTTTTAATTTAGCTTTATGTAATATCATACAAGTACAATATTTTCACTCACTCCTCCTTCATTTACCCCACTCCATCTCGAATTCATGACCTCTTTAAGTATTACATGTGTGTGTCTATATAAGTAGAACCTGTTTAATCCATTTATTGTTGCCAGTATGCACATGTGTTTAGAGATGAACATTTGTGATTAGATAACCTATCAAGGAGCTTATCCCTGGACAAAACTGATTCTTCCTCTTTCAGTAGCAATTGATTGCCTTTTACTCTTCATCTAAGTCAGGGCTTCTTGAACTTTGGGATAGGACCCTTTAGGGGGATCACATATCAGATACTCTGCATATCAGATATTTACATTATGATTAATAACAGTAGCAAAATAACAGTTATGAGGTCGCAAAAAATTTATGGTTAGGGTCACCACAACATGAGGATTTGCACTGAAGGGTTGTAGCATTAGGAAGGTTGAGACCCACTGACCTATATGGTAGAACTTTGTGAAGTTCTCATCACATTGCCATGATAACTGCTGTTATCACTGTACAAATTTTGTTTAGGCAACTATAATTGTTGAGATTTAACTGGGGAAGTATATTTACACAATGGACTACTACTCAGTTATTAAAAACAAGGAAATCATGAAATTTGAAGGCAAGTGGATTGAGGTAATCTAGTACCTGAAAAACATGCATGGTGTATACTCAAATATAAGTGGATATTAGCCATAGAATATAGGACAACCATACTACAATCCACAGAAGAAGTTAAACAACAAAGAGTGTGTTCAGCTCTCATTCAGAGGGGCAAATAGAATAGACACCTGAATTGGCTGAAGAGGGGGAACAGGACAGGAGTCTACCATAGACGTCCTCTGACTGACTCTGCCCAGAAGGGGATTGAAGCATGCAGTCCTCATGAGACTTGATAGGCTTGGGTCAGTTCATAGGGGAGCAGGGCTCCTCCTTTCTGAGGACTAAGGTAGCAGAAGGGGGGGGGGGGTGGAAGTGGGGGGGACCAGAAGGAGAAGAGGGAGTGGGCTACAATCAGGATGTAATGTGAATAAATTAAAAAAAAAACTAATAAAAGATACATTGGCATCCTCCTTTCTTGTTTTAATCTCCTTGATCTCCCACAGTTATTTTATTGCTTTAGCTAAGAATTCAAGTACTGTATTAATATCTCTGGGTAGAATAGAGTCAACATCCTAGTTTTGTTCTTGATTTTAGTGGAGATGTTTTGAGTTTGTCTCCATTTAGGATGATATTGACTGTGGGCTTACTATAAATTGTGTTTATTATGTTGAGGGCTAATACTTATATTCCTAGTCTCTACAGGACTTCTATCATGAAAGAATGCTTGGTATTTTTAAGACTTTTTCTGCATCTGATGAAATGAGCATTAGATGATGACACATTTTTGTCTTTCAGTCTGGTTATGCGGTGGATTACATTTACACATTTACACATGTTGAACCATCTCTGCATTTCAGCAATGAGTACAACTTCACCATGCTAGATAATATTTTTGGTATATTCTGGAATTTAGTTTGTAAGTATTTTTCTTTCTTTTTTGAAAGTATTCTTTTTTTCTTTAAATATATTTATTAATTACAG